GTGTGTGTGTGTATGTATGTATGTGTGTGTGACTCTGTGTGTGCCTTGCTTGGCAGTTGATCGAATGTCTTTCTCTCCTGTAGTATCATATTATTTTCTGCTCTGAAAGGCGAGACCCACGAACTCATTTTCTTCACTGTCTTTCCTCCCGTTTCATTTGTCATTCTATGCGTGTATGCATCGTGACTGGTTGGACGGTGAGACAAAATGATGAATAATCGATGAACCCATGCATTTATCGTTGATGAATCGGGAATGATTAACGTCTAGCTTTCGGGATTAGATTATTTGTCTTTCTGCGTTACCATTCCCTGTCCGTCTATTTGTCTTAATGAAGTATTTGTCTACCTGCCTATCTACCTGCTTACCGTCTGTCCGTGTGTTTGTCTGTCTGTCTGTGTGTATATGTCTTGCTGTGTGTCTATCTGTCTGTCTCTGTCTGAGGGTGTGCATACTGTCTCTCTGCCTGCATGTCTATCTTTCTAACTGTGTGCCTATCTGTCTGTTTGTGTGTCTATCTGTCTGACCGTGTGTCTGTCTGTCTTTGTGCCTAGCTATCGGTCTCTGTTTCTATCTACACGTTTGTCTGTCTGTCTGTCGGTCTGTCTGTCTACATGCCTATGCCTGACTGGCTCCGGTGCACGAGAACGAACTTCACTGTTCACGAGGTCAAGCAAGCGAACACGCCTCCTGGCCAAACTTGTGATTGATTTTTCTTAGTTCAAAACTTGTTAATTGATAACATTCCCTAGGCACAATCGTTGTTTAAGAAACAACCCCATCACTGAGCATTACATGAGCACATAAAGGAGCAGACTCTGTAAGATGATAGTGGCTCAAATTGCATTCTCCCTTTCTGACAATGACGATTGACGCGGTCGAAGACTGTTTCGCATTTACCATCATTCCGATAAAACCAAACTGATAGGCGTCAAATCCTTTAGCGCACTATATCATGGGATATCATATTGAAGCAAGCAGCCCTTTTCCACCATATTATGTGGACCTTGAATGCAGATCTTGAAAGAAGGATCAAAGCTGTGGAGATGAGATGCTTCCGAAAAATCCGTGATATGTCATACAAAGATCACATCACAAATAATTAAGTCAAACAACGGGTCAAAAATGTAATTGGACCATGCTGACCTTCTCACTCTGGTCAGAAACGCAAACTGCAATGGTAAGGACACACCACCCATTCATTCAGCCTTGCCAAGATGATCCTGCAAGGCACCGTCAAGGGAAGAAGGAGCAGAGGCAGACCGAAGAAGAGTTGGGAGAACAACATCAAGCAATGGACAGGCCTGGACCACAAAGACACGCTCAGGAAAGCTGAAAACCGGAAGGAGTGGAGAATACTGATGGCCAAATCTTCAAAAGCGCCCCGACGGACATCCAGTCTACAGGATAGGTGAAGAAGGGGAAGAAGGTGTGTGGACTGAATTGTTATCCGTCACAACAACAAATCTTGTGAAGCGCTTCATAGCAATCTTCACCGGACAGTGCACGTGCAAACCTCATGTTTGGGTATTCAGTGAAGACCTAAATTACTAGATCTACAGCCCTAGACTGATCTGAAGGAGAAATGTACAGAATCCCTACGGAGGAAAAGGAAATCAAAAGAAATGTGTTGGCTGACAGAAGAGCTGAAAGCGAAACTAGAGAAGAAAGAAACCAGCTAGTTCGAATAATTTCTGAAAGTCCTATCGAAGAAAAACTGCCCCTCCTTTGTAAATATCATCAAGGTCTAGACTTAGAGACTCCAGCGTCTTGAGACACATGAGGCAAACAGGAACGACCTGGAAGATTTCACTTCCTCGGAATTGCAAAGTTCTATTTGACGTTTTTGGCAGTTTTGGGTTACTATGACCATGATGTCAGAAAGCAAAATGCTTCATCTGATCTATCAAATCCGAAGAATATTCGGAGTCGTTGTCAAGATATTCCAAGAATTGCATTGTGCAAAGCTTGACATATTGTGAAGCTCAAAAAAATATTACGTCAGATTTCTCAAAACTAGGTATTCAGCAGACAGAATTTTGTAATTCTGAGGTAGCGATTTATCTGCAGCGGAGATGAGACATCACTCGATTTCTTGTGTGCTAGTTTAAGGTAATCGCTCTGGTCCGTTTCAGTTCATCCGTGATCGTCCCCTGCCTCATTTCCCATTGATTTTGCATTGCGCAATTTGACGGGAGAAGTTCGAGGTTGGGAGTCGTCGATTGTAAATGTGATTACAAGTCTCTAAATAAATGTCAACAGAGTTTTAGCAAGAATTATCACAGATTTTAAACCAGAGCCATGATGATAAATCATACTGAAAGTAATCGAAGCTGTTTGAAACCAAATTCTGTTTACTTCGACGCTACAGTGCCCGTGACGTTCCCTTTGAAGAGTCATTAAGTGCTTGGATGGATTTCGCTCCCAAGACTGTCTCCGTCCCGACTGAGCACATTGTCTGTGTGTCTGTCTACGTGTCTGCTTGAATTCTATATGTCAGTATATCATGTGTCTGTCTACTAGTCTACTTGTACGAGTATGTCTGTCTACATGTCTACTTGTATGTCTGTGTATCTGTCTATGTGTCTATGTATCTGCCTATTTGTCTGTATTCTGTATATCATGTGTCTGTCTACTTGTATGTCTGTGTATCTGTTTTTGGGTCTATGTGTCTGTCTATGTGTCTGTCTACATGTCTCTTTGTATGTCAATATGTCTGTCTACATGTCTACTTGAATGTCAATGTGTGTCTGTCACCCTGTCCACACGTCCATCTCCTATTCGCTTGTCTGTCATTTCGGCTGTACTGTACTGTCTGCTCATCTGTTTACTAGTCATCCATTTTCACAACTCGCTTTCATCGTCTCTGGTACGTTTTGGCAGACATTAACTCTTTGTCAAACTTTGTGTTATTTATTGATCATGTTATTCTTCTACGTCAGGTAATGTCAGAGATGGTCTTGTGGGAACGGTTGACATTCAAGCATAACAAAGCGTCCGTCTTTTTGTGAAATGCGGAGGTCAGAACAACAGCAGTTTTTTTTTTCTGTTTCTGAGTTTCATTTCTCTTTTGCATATGTTTATGTCTGTCTGTTTGTTTCTCTCTCTCTCAATCTCTCTCTCTTTCTCTCTCTCTCTCTCTTTCTCTCTCTCTCTCTCGC